TGGAAGTGATCTGTTGCATTTTCACAGGGTAAGCGATCAGACTCAATTTTTAGCACATCTCAAACTATTGCTTTATAAATTATGAAGTTGTTAGAGATTTTTTCATATCTATTTTGAAGTATTTTTCTAAAGGTAGAAAAGGAAGAATTTGAGCTGGGTGACCTGTGGAGTAGCCCAGACTGCAAAAGGCACCTCAAAATCTCAGGAAAATATATCAAGCCCAGCACACTACTGTGGGCCACTGGGAGTGAAATGGGCTAATAGAAGACACCACACTTTTCTGTCTTCTTTAAAGCAATTAAAAGTCCATGCAGGTAGACAGCTGTACCTGTAAAGAATTGTTCTTTTACATCTGGGATCTCTAAAATAATAGATAAGAAAATTATCTAGGGCTTAGTGATTAGATCATTTTGGTCATAATTTAAGTAATCTTGACCCCTTCTTCAACTGAGATGCAGAACAGAAGTACATTGGATTTTGTTACATAGCTGTGTTGTATTTCTGCACCTTCTCCAGAATGTGCTGATGCCAGTATTTGGCCATGAAGTCATAACAATGTTTATAAAATAACGATGGGACTAATTTAATATGAAATACTGTATGTATCCTTAGTAACTATTTAAAGTGGGTGAAATTTGACCATGTGTGGAGGGCCAAGGTAAGTGATGAATAGGCTCCCATCTAGTTTTGAAAATGGGACTTAAGTGGTGCATAGTCGTTGTTTCTTCAAGGAAACTAATTTCACCCAGAAGTGAAAAACACATTCAGAGGCAAGATGGAGAACAGCCTGTATCTATATAAAATGATGTCTGCTTAAAGGGCTTTTTTTCTCTGCTGGCAGATTTCTTTTTGATCCCACTTTCCTCATCGTGTGTGTGTGTGTGTGTGTGTGTGTGTGTGTGTGTGTGTGTGTGTGTGTGTGTGTGTGTGTGTGTGTGTGTGTGTGTGTAAAACAGTACTTAAAGAAACACTGACTCCCATATATTAACCCATTTTAAAAGCCAAATTGATCTGAACACATTTAAGAACATAAGAACATAAGAATGGCCATACTGGGTCAGACCAAAGATCCATCTAGCCCAGTATCCTGTCTACCGACAGTGGCCAATGCCAGGTGCCCCAGAGGGAGTGAACCTAACAGGTAATGATCATGTGATCTCTCTCCTGCCATCCATCTCCACCCTCTAACAAACAGAGGCTAGGGACACCATTCCTTACCCATCCTGGCTAATAGCCATTAATGGACTTAACCTCCATGAATTTATCTAGTTCTCTTTTAAACCCTGTTATAGTCCTAGCCTTCATAACCTTCTCAGGCAAGGAGTTCCACCGGTTGACTGTGCGCTGTGTGAAGAACGTCCTTTTATTTGTTTTAAACCTGTTGCCCATTAATTTCATTTGGTGACCCCTAGTTCTTATATTATTATATTAACAAGTAAATAACTTTTCCTTATTCACTTTCTCCACACCACTCATGATTTTGTATACCTCTATCATATCCTCCCTTAGCCTCCTCTTTTCCAATCTAAGGGGGGATATGATAGAGGAATATTTATTAAGCTTCTGAAAGATTCTTCTTTCCCACTTCCAATTACTGGCTGGAAACAGAATGACACAAAATAAGAAACTCCTGCTAAGTCCACCCAAAAGCAGGAAGAAGTGCCCAAAATCTCACAAGAAAGCCTGTTTCTGGTGAGATTTCCAGTTGTGTTGCACACACACAGGCGGGTCTGATGAGGCACCAACCTTTGGATATTTATTTGAACCCAAACACTGAATCTTTTGTGGCATTATTCTTCCACTGTGCTCCTGAATGGCCATGGGGATTCTCTGAAGTTGCATTCAAAACCACTGAATTTCATTAGGTGCAAAAGGTGGCTTGTTACTGTTTTACATTTTATTATTTGTATCATCTCATAGGTGTTTGTTTTGTTTAGTAAATATTATTGAATCTCCAATTTCACTTTGAAAATGGGACTTACGCACTTTTCAAAATTTGACCATTAATTATCCAGGTGACTAAGCATTATCTTTAATAAAATATATTATTTGGCTTTTTAAAATTTCTAGTCTTTAAGGAATTTTGAGTGAAAACAGCCAATAATTACTTCTAATTAACACAAACTATTTCTATCATGTATCTGTACTATCTTGTCAATGTTTATGTCATTCACTAGTGAATCTAAAACTAGATCTATAGTAAGTATCACACCATGTATAGTGTAGTCAGTATTGACAACAGAGATTCAAAAGATGTCTGATCTGAAGCTCATGGAAGTCTATCGAAACATTTCTATTGACTTCAATGGGCTTTAGATCAGACCTTAAGATTCTTTGAATAAAGCTGGTAATAAACCACAAAGAAGTCATTGGGAAGGCAACATTCTTTTTGTATTTTTCTTTTCAATACTTTGATTTTCCCTGCATTTTTATTTCTCATTTCTTTGCCAGCTATGAATGCAAAAAATCCAACAGACTAGAGAATACACCGATATTGCTGATGAGGGAGATTCTCAGCAATGTCTTTGCTTGTGAAGAATGCACTGTTTAAAAATTCCTTTTTAATGCAAGACTGGCCAGCCATGCCTATGAAAATTCAGGCATCTCAGAGGGGATGGGAAAGTGCGAGTGTCTGTCACTATCAGAAAGGGGCCAAGCGACAACCATTTAGCTGAGTTCACCTGAATGTTGTTGAATAAAATAGGGCTGAAATCAAAACCACTTCTGGTTTTAGTTTTGCAAAACTAAAGTCACCCAGTACACAAAATGAGGTGGGTGAAATCTGGAACTATTTACTGTATCTGGACCTACCCATCATTCTTGAACTTAGGGAGAGGGTCAGATAAAATAAGATGTAAATCAGATCATTTCTGCTCTTTGTCTTGCAAACCCATAACTGAGACAATTAGGAACCATCTCCAGTTTCCCCCCTCTCCAGTTGATATTCATGATGCTGCCAGCTCCCCTGTGGGCGCTGTTATATCTGCCTGCAAGTGGCATAACTGTGTAGAGCTGGCAGGCTATGGCAAGTGGCGTCATTCTTGGCAGCATCACCTTTGAAAGATGGTTACTTCTGGAAAAGTTGTCTCAGAGCAGCCGTTCAGCACTAAGGCTGTTCCAAGAACGGATTAGCAGAGGAAGTTGTTTAAGTGATGGTGCTGCAACGTTCTTGTCTGGAACAGCAAGCATCACTTGCATAAAATATCTCCAGGAGCCCTGGTGATCCTAAGTCTGCTCTCAAATAAGGCTGTGCATCATAATCAAGGAGGGGGGTAGGGATAGCGCAGTGGTTTGAGCAGTGACCTGCTAAACCCAGGGTTGTCAGTTCAATTCTTGAGGGGGCCACTTAGGGATCTGGGGCAAAATCAGTACTTGGTCCTGCTAGTGAAGGCAGGGGGCTAGACTCAATGACCTTTCAGGGTCCCTTCCAGTTTTAGGAGATAGGATATCTCCATTAATTAATTAATTTATTTATCAGGTCTGAAGATGGACTTACCAGAATTTTTCTTTGTATTACTGGATATTTGTGCAAACTAATACGTTCTCCAAAGACAAATAAAATATAAATGCAAAATGAAGGGCAAGATTTTTCATTAAAAAAAATTGTAGCAGACCCTAGTTTGAATAGAAATCCCCCCACTGCTCCCCACTCTCCAGGATGGGGTTTTCAGACCATGTCACTAGCGTAGGGTCTCACTGCCAAACCTGAGGGCTCCTGGTAGTCCAGGGATACCTTACAGGCCCCACTCTTCCCTGAAAATTCTTTGCTTTTAATGTAGTATCTGCTTGTGAACTGCCTGGAATGGAGCTGATTACAGCTCCCAGACAGCCACTGGGGCAGGTTTGGCCACAAACGGCTTTATTTCAACACTTATTTAAATCCCTAAAGCTATTTGAGATCAGCCAAATAGGCAAAATAGGTTGAAGGAGCTAGGATTTAGGGACTAAACTTTAGTAGCCTTGACTGTGGGATCTGATGCTTAATCAAGCATAGATGGAGAGTACCCAGCTTCACAAATTCCTTGGAATGTTATCTCACAGTTATGCTCTTTAAAGTCAAATGTCTCTCTTGCTCTCTGCCTTAGATACAAAAAGCTGTCTCATAAAACATATTTCAGTCACCTCCAATGCTATGTTCAAGTAATACAAATTATAGCTCTAATCTGGTAATATTAAACCCAAAGTAAAAAAACAAAACAAAACCCTGAAGCCTCACAACATTTTCTAAAACTCAGCTTGCACAATGCACTTTAAAAAAATATAACTCAGCGTGCAAACATACATAAATGCGTGCAAGCTAGACAATTTTTTTCCCTACAGCCCAAACAACAGTTTAGCTATGAGGCAGAAATGCATACTGTGTATTCCACTTTGCTGCAGGTTCCCTGCAGTGGTCAGACTTTAAAAGTTTCTTCCATTTTGAGAGATATTACTGTTTCTTGTGTTATTTTTCATTTTAACTATAGGGTAATACGGGTAAAAATTTTCAAAAACAAGTGATTTAGGAGCTTAAATCACATTTTTCAAAAGTAACTCAGACACTCAGAATCCTAAATCCCATTGACTTTCAGTGAGACTGATGCTTCTGAGTGCCTAAAGTCACTTTGTAAAAATAGGACTAAGGTGCTTTTGAAAATGTTGATCCTAAATCCAAGCCCATAGAATCTTTCTAAAAGGAAGAGACCTTTTTAAGTGTAAACGATATATATCCAAACCCAGCCATAAATGGTTTAGAAAGCAGTTTGGTATGGCAAATCTTATAGTAGGAGAAGTTTTCAGGCATCTTTGCCCGTGTACACATTTTTAACAGCTGTACTCAGTTTCTGTTTAATTCCAGCAGCCCTACATGAATGCCAAGTAGCAATCCTTCTGCAGCTGTACTGGGCCTATTAACTGCATCCAGCAATTTACTGTATGATTGGTCTACATTAATCTACCAACAGTTATTTCTACTGAATGACAGAGCCATTCATTTTATAAAAAATATATAGTCATCATACCTGGAAGAAAAAGGCCAGGCTTCCCTAAGGAATGATCCAGTCTGAAAAGAAAACAGACAATCATTTTAGTTTGCCAGCAGCAGAATTATCAAACAACTTATTGTTTGCTGCTTGGAATACTACACATGCATATTTTACATGCAAAGTTTTAAAACAACAGCAAGGCAAGTGAAAATGCTGGTCTTGCATGACTAGATTTACATACTGTCAGCAGTCTTGCCCTTTATACATTGTTGTTTGTTGTAATAAAGCTGCATTGTTACTGTGGTTTTCATGAACACTGATATTTTACTTATTTCTTCTGTTTTCGTTTTATAGCTAAAGCAATTTAGACCTGTATTGCACTGAATCCAGTAACTATGACTATCCAGATAAAATGGCTTCTTAATAATATTCATAACTGTTCCCTGAATCACACAGAGACAGGGTGGTTTTTTTTAAATCAATTCATTTTGAATAAGTGGACCCTATCCTGCTCAATAGGAATTTTGCCACAGGCCTCAGTGGGTGAAAGATCTGGTTCTGGTGTCCTCAGTAATTCATCAAGGCACTACAAAGAAAAACCTATGCTGAAAGCCAGAAGTACATTTTTAAGGCAAAATTTCACGATTGATTCAATAGTTGAGAAAGTATGTGACAGAAAAGTATGCAAGCCAGAGGAGTAATTGTGGGAAAGGAAAGGGGAAGAAGAGGAGATTCAGATAGACAGGCAAGCACAGGTGAAATAATGATTTCTCCCAACCATGGAGAGTCATAAGCCTGGTCTACACTATGAGTTTAGGTCGACTTTAGCAGCGTTAAATCGAATTAAGCCTGGACACATCCACATGATGAAGTCCTTTCTTTCGACTTAAAGGGCCCTTTAAACCGGTTTCTTTACTCCACCTCCGACGAGGGGATTAGCGCTAAAATCGGCCTTTGCGGGTCGGATTTGGGGTAGTGTGGACGGAATTCAATGTTATTGACCTCCGGGAGCTATCCCACGGTGCTTCATTGTGACCGGCTCTGGACAGCGCTCTCAACTCAGATGCACTGACCAGGTAGACAGGAAAAGCCCTGCGAACTTTTGAATTTCATTTCCTGTTTGCCCAGCATGGAGAGCACAGGTGACCATGCAGAGCTCATCAGCACAGGTAACCATGATGGAGTCCCAGGATCGCAAAAGAGTTCCAGCATGGACAGAACGGGAGGTACGGGATCTGCTCGCCATATGGGGAGACAAATCAGTGCTAGCTGAACTCCGTAGCAGTAAACGAAATGGCAAAATATTAGAAAAGGTCTCAAAGGCCATGAAGGACAGAGGCCATAACAGGGACGCACAGCAGTGCCGCGTGAAAATTAAGGAGCTAAGGCAAGCATACCACAAAGCCAGAGAGGCAAACGGAAGGTCTGGGGCAGAGCCGCAAATATGCCACTTCTACGCGGAGCTGCATGCGATGCTAGGGGGTGCAGCCACCACTACCCCAACCGTGTGCTTTGACTCCGTCAGTGGAGAAACACGCAACAGAGAAGCGGGTTCTGGGTACGAGGAAGATGATGATGAAGACAATGAAGAGAGCTCACAGCAAGGAAGCAGAGAAACCGGTTTCCCCAACAGCCAGGATATGTTTATCACCCTGGACCTGGAACCAGTAACCCCCGAACTCACCCAACGCGTGCTCCCAGACCCTGAGGGCACACAAGGGACCTCTGGTGAGTGTACCTTTGTAAATATTACACATGGTTTAAAAGCAAGCTTGTTTAATGATTAATGATTAATTTGCCCTGGCAATCGCGGCCAGTACAGCT